AAGTTTCTTTCCCCTGGTAGCTCCTCTGTCGAGCAGAAACCGGGCTGCAGTCTCATGGTTGTATTGGATTGCTAGGTCCAGCGCCGTTACCCCAAAATCGTCCACAGCATTGATGTCTGCTCCGCGATCGAGAAGGAGCTGAAGTGCCATTTTATAGCCGTTACATGCAGCCAAGTGCAGTGCGGAGCATCCTATCTTTGCTCTTGGAGTTGACGTCTGCTCCGCGATCGAGAAGGAGCTGAAGTGCCATTTTATAGCCGTTACATGCAGCCAAGTGAAGTGCTGAGTATCCATTTTTGCTCTTGGAATTGACGTCTGCTCCGCGATCGAGTAGCAGCTTGAGCACCATTTCATGGCTGTAACTTGCAGCAAAGTGTGACGCAGAGTGCCCCCAACAGTTCTCGTCATGAATATCGGCTCCGTGATCAAGCAACAGTTTTGCCATCATGTCATCGCCTCTGTACGCGGCGTGTTGCAACGGCGAATCGCCAGAGAATCTATAGTTTACATCGGCTCCGTTGTTAAGGAAGAGGTCAACCATTTTTCTGTCTCCATTATCAACGGCACGGATCATTAAGGAAGATACACATGTAGCCGCGCCATGTTTTAGGAGCAGTTGGACTATGTCATAATTCCGGTCTTTCATGGCACGATTCAATGCATCCTCTCCATATCGCCCCTTGAAATGTTTCTTGCGACCGTCCTCCAGGAGCAGCTTGACGACAGGCGCATGTTCTCCATATACGGCCATTTGTAACTCCGTGTATCCAGCTTTGCCTTTTTCGGATTCTAGTGTCTGATTCCCGTTTTCAAGGAGCTTGCGAACCCAAGGAACAATCCCAAAGAAGGAAGCGATATGTAACAAAGACACCTGATCGCATTCCTTCTCGAATATTTTCTGTGAAGAAGAAGCATGGTACGTTCGCCACCAGTGTCGACGCAGCGCCGAGTCTTTCTGGAAGAACGGATGCCCTGGGTCAAACAGCATGTCGGCGCATCCCGACGAAAGCCGTGCGTGTTCAGGCCAGTGCAGCGCTGCATAGCGTAGGAGCGGAAATTCTTCGAGGTATCTGTGAGATGACTTCTCATCAACAACACCGTTGTCACCACGTAATACGTCAGAGACACGGGGAGGTTCTTCCGATAGAGGTACTACTGGCAGAGCCGGTGGGTCTTGAAAACGGACAGCCCTCGTGTGCAGATCACTTTTCTGGAGGTAAGCAAGGCATGTTTGCGCCAGTTGAAAATGAGCTTTCTCCGGCAAGATGCGGAAATATTGCTCCAGAATTGGATTGCTGTCAGGACTCCCGCGCAGCATGTAGTCTTTCGCTGACTGGTGGATAAGACTGACCTTACCATCTTTGTGGATCGTCAGAAACGATTCACATAACGAAATGTAATCCCGGATTACCTGCTCGCTGTTCAGAAGAGGCAGCGGCTTGATGTCAATGGCCGCCGCCAGTTCATGCAGTGTTAGGGGTCGACGTGCCATCGCCACCCAGCGCAGAATCTGAGATGCGACATCTCTTCGATGACTGTCAATCTGAAGCAGCATTCGACCATACATGGTAGGCAACTCAACGGGAAGCGACTTTAGAGTCTCTAGTACCTCCGTACATGTATCCTTTCGTAACAACTCGTTCACGACGGGACCAAGCCACAGGAACGTTCCTTTGGCACGTTTCAGGGGAATCTGCTGAATATGTTCTAAAAGGTGCGCAGTGAACCCATTGATTCTCGAAAGCTCCTTAAGTCTGATGGAGACAAACCGCTCGATATCTCTAGTCACTTCCTCGCTAAAATCCCGGTCGATATTGAGCTGTGGAAAGATCTCCGGACGGGAAATCTCCCGGCTGACAATCACCATCTTCAGCCGTCCACCTATCGGGCTCGACGACGACTCCGGTGAGAAGAACTCGGCAAGCTTTGTCACTAGGAATCTTGTCGAATCTTTATCACATTCATCCAGACCATCAAGGACACAGAAAAGAGTACCAAGGCTAGGATCTTTCACAAGATTGGTGAATAAGATCCAGAGACTCTGAAGAGATGAGATTGTCAGATTGGTTCTTTCTGTAGATTCGAAAAATGGAAACACATGTTCGATGAGATTGGGACGCCTCGTGACAATTTTGGTTAGGATGATAGAGAAGCCCTCTTAAAATGGCCACAGCAGTTCCACGCTTCTCGTCCTGGTGGCGGCAAAAGTGGAAAATCAGTTCACTGTTCTCCATTCCCTGCGTACGCCTCTCCAGCTCTTCAGTGAGAAAGAGGGAAAGCATCGTCTTCCCCTTGCCAGGACTGCCAGTTATCCAGAGAAGCTGGGTTCCAGAATCAAGCCAAGAACGATAGAGCTCGTTTTCTCGGATCCATTCACATGTGCCACTGACCCTTGGACCCTTGATGCTGATCAGCTCCTGACGATCGATCTCTGGGTCAGTTAGGAAGAGGGCGTCCCGACAAGTCTTGATTTGCGTGTGATAGATGGAAACTCCTATCGAAAACGATCCAGTCAGTAGTCTCCTCTATCGAGGCAATATTTCAGGTCTGGGTTTACCAGGAATGAAAGTTTCATAGTAACCATTGAAGGGGAAACGCAGTGCCTCAGCTTGTGTGTTGGTAATGACATTTTGGCTGTAGAGCGAGAGGTCAGGATACGCTGGAGTTTCGTCCTTCGCGTGTGCCATTCTCAGCAAAGTGTCTCTTGAGAGGAAGGATAAACCAGATAAAGAGTAAACGTAAAGGAAGAGTGAACTAAGGCAAGGACATAATGAAGCTGAGAATGAAGCTGAGAGTGAAGGGTAAAGTAGAAGACTGAAAAATAGAAGTCAGTCTGTGGGTGAAAGTTCAGGAAGGTCGGGGGACGTTGTTCTGCTGTGTCAAGGCCACGAAGAAAGAAGGCACGCACCTGGTCCACATCGCTCACATGATTAGACAAAAGGAAACGTTTGTCGACACGCTTAGACCTGATGAATCCTACAGTAAGGAAATACTGCCATACATGATATAAGATTGTATGTCCCTGAACTTTCCGTTCCTGGCATGCTTAGCTTCTATGGGTATGCATGTATGTACATATATTCTCCCTATTCCCTGGTAAGATAAAAAAAGAAATTACACAATAGACGAGGATAAAGATGAGCTGATGATAAATAGTATGTACCGTCTACTGCCCCACCACCATCTCCAAAATCTCCAACACCTGCTCCTTCTCCTTCAAGGGCACCGGATTCGTCTTGCACCATCGGTCGTGCAGACTGTGCTCCGCCAGCATGTCGAGCTTGTCCCGTCCGACATTGACGTCTTTCAGGGAGCGCGGCATGCCCAGCTCGCAGATCACCGCGTCCAGGACGTCGCCCAGGTCCGACGAGTTGGCGTCGACGCCGCGAGCCTTCAGTACCTCGGCGACGATGGGGTTGGAGGTCAAGAACTTGTGCACACGCTGTTGACGGGGCACGTTGGCGTTCTTAGAGGCATTGTATTTGCAGACCGCGGGAAGCAAGATGCAACTCGTTTCGCCGTGACCGACTCCGAGAGGGCCCAGCTAGGTGGAGAGATATCAGTCAGAGATCACGAACATGGATGACCTGGGCATGACTTACCTGATGGCCAATGCCGTGACTGGCACCCAGCTGGACCTTCCCACTCGTGCAAGCCGCCATGGCATCGACGGAGCCCAGCTGACAGTCCAGACGGGCGGCATAGTCGGTCTTACTGCGCTTGCAGCGCAGCAATCCCGGCACGAGCATCCCCAGAGCCTTCTCGGCGAGGGCGTCACTCTCGTCATCGCTCATGTTGGAGCAGATGGTCTCGACACAGTGGTCAACGGCGCGGATGCCGGTGCTCAGCCAGATCGAGTCCGGCGTCGTGGCGGTCAGTTCGGGGTCGAGGATGACGAGACGCGGACCCTTCAGCGGTTTCTGGAAGCTGTGTTTCCGGAAAGACTTGTCCTCCGTGCCACCGGCGAAGTTGGAATATTCACCAGCGGACAACGATGTCGGGATACTGATGATGGGCACGACAGACGGCTTGATGTCGGCCCGTTTGTTCGGACCTTCAGGGAGAGTGGCCAGTTCTTCGATGGTGGAGACATCGTTGGCGAGCGCCTGGCAATTGCAACCGCATTGTCAGGACAATCCATATTCCGAAAAGGACGAATTCACTTGGACGTACAAAAGAAACAATCTTGGCCCCGTCCGTCAAGCTGCCGGCGCCCAGGGTCAGCAGCAGATCAGCGTTGACGCGGCGGGCGTCGTTGGTGATCTCGATGACCTCGGACCACAGCGTATGGCTCTTCATGCCAATGCGGACCCCGGCGACCTTGTCGCCCAGGGCGTCCTTTAGCCGCGTCAGGGCATCGGTATTGCGGGACAGAGAGCCCGAGCAGATGATATAGACGCGCGAGGCGTGAAAGGTCTCGTCGACATGGCGGGCGGCGGCGGCGGGGAAGGGGATGCCGTAGGACAGCTTGGGCTCCTCGCGGTCGGCGAAGGCGCGGCGAACAGTTTCCTGCGTCATGGCGATCTGTCGATACTAGAATCGAGAGAGGAATAGGGATGGGCAAGGGCAAAAAGGTATATGTACTGTACAGTATATGAATTGAAGCCCTACAGCAGCAATATATCCGCCATTGCTGGATATTCAATATGCCGCATATCCTCCCCTCCCCCACATGGGGCCAGCAGGCACTGTTCGGCCAGCGACACTGTCTTCGGACTCTCGACGGCGATGATCTCGCGGACAGGCAGACGGTGGGGTGCGTATGTGGGGCCAGCAGAGTCGAAAGAAATAAATAATTAATAATATAGCACACCCAGTGTGGAATGCGAGAGAATCGCCAGTTGACGATCAGGAACAGGAACAGTATCTACAGTTGGCATCGAATTCGTTGCAGAGGTAGCTATGGATAGAGATACTATATGCATACAGACAATCCAGAAATCAAATCAATCCTTCAACACCGCAGAATCATGTCCCGCTCCAAAAGAGAAATTCCAGTAGAAAGAGGCTATGCTGTGCAACCCATATAGCAACAGATACGTGTCTGACCATAACTTGCCTGTTATGGAGAAAGACACCAAGAAGATACCTTTTTTTTTGCAACTACCTACCTAGGTAGATGGAGAAACGCAATCTGCTTACTGCGCCTTCTTGGCCAGCAGGTTCAGCGCGCTGCCCGCCAGGATGAAGCCGCACTGGTCCTTGCTCAGCGTGTGCTTGACGGGGATATCAAACGTCTCGCCCGTCTTGTGCTTCGTCACTCGCAGGCGCACCTCGCCCTTTCCGCCAGACGTCAGCAGCTCGTACAGCCCGACCGTGTCGACCCGGTCGCAGGCGTCGATGCGGTCGTAGTCCGCCCGGTCTGCAAAGGTCAGCGGCACCACGCCCTGCTTCTTCAGGTTCGTCTCGTGGATGCGCGCAAAGCTCTTAGCCACGATGACCCGGCCGCCCAGGTACCGGGGCTGCAGCGCCGCATGCTCGCGCGCACTGCCTTCGCCGTAGTTCTCTTCTGCCACCACCAGCCATTCGATGCCGCTCGCCTTCCACTTCTCCGCCAGCTCCGGGATGGAGTGCTGCTTCCCGTCCATATCGTAAGCCACGTTCGTCTCGCCCGTCGCCGCGTTGACGGCCCCGATGAGCGTGTTGGCGGAGATGTTGGGCAGATGGCCCTTGTACTTGAGCCACGGGCCGGCCGCTGAGATGGTGTCCGTCGTGCACTGGCCCTTGACCTTGTACAGCACCCGCAGGCCCTGCAGGTCGTGGGATGGGAATGGCGCAAACGGCTCCAGCCGGGCCAGGCGGTCCGACGTGGGCGAAATGATCACTTCGACCGACGGGTCCGGCACTGCAGCGCTGGGCCGGAAGGCCGGGTTGCCCGCCGCAAAGCCCGCGCTCGGCAGGTCCGAACCCTTTGGCGGCTTGAAGCGGAACGTGCCGCCGTCGGGGGTCGGCAGCGAGTCGGTCATCGGGTTGAAGGTCGTGCGGCCAGCGTAGGTCATCGCCGTCACAATCTCCGGGGAGGCCAGGAAGTTCATGGTGCGTCGGTTGCCGTCGTTGCGGCCGGGGAAGTTGCGGTTGTACGAGGTCAGGATGGCATTGTCTTCGCCCTTCTTGACCCCGTCAGTCCGCTTCCATTGCCCAATGCAGGGCCCGCAAGCGTTGGCCAACACGGTCCCGCCGGCCTCGGAAAAGGTCTTCAACGTCTGGTCGCGGTCCAGCGTCGCGCGGATCTGCTCGCTTCCGGGCGTGATGAAAAAGTCGGCCTTGGGCTTCAGGCCGGCCGCGGACGCCTGCTTGACCAGGTCCTCCGCCCGCGTCATGTCCTCGTACGAGCTGTTAGTGCAGCTGCCGATCAGGCCGGCCCCAAACGTCTCCGGCCACCCCTTCTCCCGCACCGTGTCCGCAAAGGCGGAGAGCGGCACGGACAGGTCGGGCGTAAACGGTCCGTTGATGTGTGGCTCCAGCATTGACAGGTCGATCGTAATCAGCTGGTCGTATTCAGCCTCGGGATCCGCCCGGAGCAGGTTTCGGGGTCCCGATGCTGCGATCTCCGCCGCCGCCTCGGCCACGGAAGCGCGGTTGGTGGCCTTCAGGTATGGGACCATGCTGGGCGAGAAGGGGAAGATGGACGTCGTGGCGCCCACTTCCGCGCCCATGTTGCAGATAGTCGCCATGCCCGTGCAGCTGAGCGTGTCGACTCCGGGGCCGTGGTACTCGATCACGAAGCCCGTTCCGCCGCGGACGGTCAGTTTACCGGCCAGGTGGAGGATAATGTCCTTGGGCGAAGCCCATCCATTCAACTGCCCTTCGAGCCGGACTCCCAGGATCCTGGGAGCTCTGAGCTCCCAAGGCGCATCCACCAAGGCATCCACGGCATCGGCACCGCCCACACCGATGGCAATCGCTCCCAGTCCTCCTGCGTTGGGGGTGTGGCTGTCCGTTCCCAGCATCATCAGGCCGGGGGCCGCGTAGTTCTCCAGCACAGTCTGATGGATAATTCCCGCTCCGGGCGGCCAGAACTCGATACCATATCGCTTGGCAGCCGACTCGAGAAAGTCAAACACCTCCTTATTTCCCTGGATCGACGACGGCAGGTCTGTGTCGGCGCCGCGCTCGCCCACAATCATGTGGTCACAGTGGATGCTAGCCGGCACCGCAGTCGAGGGCAGTCCGCACGACATAAACTGCAGCAGCGCCATCTGGGCGGACGCATCCTGCATGGCGACCCGGTCCGGCTTCAGCTTCAGGTTGGCCCGGCCCCGGATGTCCCGTCCATTGTTGGTGTCCGAGAGCAGTGACTCCTCCGGGTTATCGAGATGGGCGTACAGGATCTTCTCCGCCAGCGTGAGTGCCCGCTGGGCACCCAGCACGCGTCGCACTTCATCGAGATTCCGCAGGATCTTGGGATAGGGTGGTGCGCGGGAGGCGGGGGCTTCGGTCGCCAGGCCCCGTCGATACAGGCTTGATCGCGGTGGAAGGCAGGGGGCCAGCTATGAAATAAGATATTAGATTCAGTTCAATCAAGTCAATTGGGCCCGGAGAAGCGGGATCCTAGACAGAAGACAGGAATCAGTAGGCTACTCACCCTGCGAACGGCTGTGGCCCGCTGCCACACGAGCTGCCTCACCATCTTGTCTCTGCGGAGAAATCACACCAGGAGGAGCAAGAGAGGGCTGGAATGGGAAGAAAGACCAGCCGTGTGTTTTCGAATCTGTCAATGCTCCCTTGCTCCGGAATTTATTGACGACAGCTCTGGGTCCTGGACTTTTTTTTCCGCTCGTCTCTTGTCTCCACACTCTCGAAATGAAGAGTTGACCCCGGCCGATGCTTTGCTTTGTTTGCGGCAATCCTGATTGGTCAGCCGCTGCCATAGCGCGCCGACCTCGGCCATGTCATTTAGCGCAGGACAGAGTAGCTTAGCATTACAAATGAAAGAACAGCTGAACAATTGTTGTCTGCAACTCGAATCGAAGATGGAAAAAGAGAACAGGAATGGGAAGGGAAAAAATATCAAATTCAACAGATTGACCGCCCATGGGACAGACCCGGCGGAGACTGCACCCGCATTAATCTATGCTACACTCGATCAATCGTACAGGACAGATGGTTAACAATATACGCAGCAAACGGACAAAGGGAGCGAGATGGCCGCCGCATCCAAACGCCGTAACTACGCCACATGCCTCATGTTTCCCAGACCCAAACTGAAAACAGTCCCTGACAATAATGGCGGCCGTTACGAGACAACACAACCAGACCCGATAAGCTCAAAGCACCTGAGAAAACCAATGGCTGCAACATGCACAGAGACGCAGAAGATCAGTCTCCTTTCTCGGTTTCTTTGTCTGTTTCCTTGTCGGTTTCTTTCTCGGTCTCTTTGTCCTCATCGGGGACCGCCGCTCGTAGCTCGTAGGCGAGGTCGTAGCACTCCGCCAACAGCGCATTGACGCTGGCCTGGCCCTCCGGGATATCGTTGCCTACCATAAATTTCCCATCGACGCGCATGTTATCAATTGAATTGAGCTAGATTGGGGAGTCAGTGGAGGGATCGTCAATCGAAACGGAAGGACAGGTCACGCACCTTCATGCTGTACGGATACAGCTCTCGCACGTTCGAGACACCGCCCGATTCCTTCACCTCGATCAAGCAGCGTCGCAAAGTCTGGAGTTGGTTATAGATCGGCAGAAGCGCTTCAGACACCGGCTCTGAAGAGATCAGAAGGGCGTAAATGTAGGCATAGCTGCGTCGGATCAGATAGAGTAGGGTCTAGCCCAGATGAGTCAGCCAGGAAGAGGAGCAGCTGGGAAAGGGATACGAGAACTGATGCATACCCGCTGCGCATGGATATCCGCTGGTTGCCCCTCAGCATCGATGAAGTTGCCGTTCACGCGGGCCTCGTCGATCCGATCCAGCTTGCGCTGGTACTGGAAAAGATCGGTTTCGCGCAGGGACCAAGCCTGGGTCATGGACAGTCGCTCTAGCTGATTGCGAATGTCGACCAGTCGATCGTATGGCTCTTTGAATCGCTCATCGATCTGACCTTTTCTATATGCAGGAGTTAATGTCTGCATCCCCGCTGGTTCCAGACGACTTTGCTACCTACCGTTCCAGCACCAGTTCGGTCCACCGCCAGCATCGCTCCAGCAGGCCCTTTACTACCTCCTGGCCCCGTAGTACCTGACCATCAGGGCCTACGAAGTTGCCATCCTTCATGTGAGTTTCGATCTCCTTCAATCGTTCCTGGAGCTCCCGGACTTCGGAGGCCGAAAACTGAAAGTTGCAGCACAATCAGCACTCTCAATTGCTTACATACCTATCTCGGATTTAGAGGGGGGAGATATGGTTCGGACGTACCTTGGAGCGGGTGTTTGCGGCAGAAGTGGATCGCAGGATGGACACCAGGGTTTCGTGCACGGGTGCAAGTTCCGGGGCGAGGGGTTCGAGGCCTTTCAGTAGTCGATCCAGGGAGTTTTGGCATTGTTCAAGTCGGCTCTCAAGCAAGGTGAGCAGGTGAGGGGAGTAGGTCTCTTTGCCACGGTCGAGAGTTTGACGCATGTTATCGAGGGTCTTCAGGATGGACTCGAGGTCCTTGGCACTGTAGAATCCGGCTTCTTCGAGGTGGTCGAGCAGGCGCTAGAGGAGAGGATGGGATCAGAAGACATGTTCGTTGGGAAGGGTAGTCTTGATCAGCTGGGGAGAATACCTGGACAGTAGTAGCTAGGGAGTATCTATATTGCAAAAAACAGTCAGCGTATCAGTTTACACTCTCCGATGAGCTTCAATGGGGCGTCCAGAGATGGGAAATAACACGTACGTAGCGGGGGCTTCATTGTTTCTGCCGACAGTGAGGAACAGCAGGGAAATGAGCTGGAAGCAATCGTCGAGGACATAATCCACTGCAAAGAGTCAAAGACAATCAGTCAGCATACGAACTTCCTCAAATGCCTTTCAATAACAATAGCGCAAGGCCCACTCAGTGCTAACGTCGATTGTGTACTAGGCGGCGGTCCTGGTCCTTCCGCACGCTGTTGAGGGCTTCGACCTGGGCGATGACCTCTCATAGAGCGGGAGGACATCGCGAGACTTGATATAAGAGGACTTG